ATGGGCACGTGGAAAGAGCAGACAGTCACTTTGAGCAGCCTGGGCCTGCAGCAAGCAGAGAGCCTCCCAGCCAGAGCCTACATCTGGCACCTAAATCCTTCCGGAGGTCACCACTCAAACCCCCTGCATCCCCCCTCCTTCATGTCACAACTCCCTCCCACACCCTGCACCCCCTCTTATACCCCAATCCCCTTCCATATCCTCTTTTCATGCCCCACACCCAAGCCCTGTGCCTCCCCCTACTCCAGGTCACAACTTCCTCCCAAGCCTTGCACCCTCTCTTAACACTTCTCCCCAGCCCAGAATCTTCCAGGACCCTGCATTCCAATCCCCTACCCCAGCTCACAACCACCTCCTGCCCCCGTTTCTGATCACCATTCTGTACCCAACCTCTGTCTCAGAGCCACATCTTCCCTCCACAGACTAGAGCAGTGCTTGGCTGCTTACCAAAATCTTGGTATGCACCCCCTCCCTCCTCATCAGAACATAAGGAGGAAGATTAACCACATTAATAGAAAAACTCTTTTCATCAATTTAGGAAGCATCTAGAGGGAGAGAAGTAAGAATGTCCATACTGGGTCAGACCAAAGGTCCATCCAACCCAGTACCCTGTCTGTTGACAGTGGCCAATGCCAGATGTCCTAGAGGGAGTGAACTGAACAGGTACTGATCAAGAGATTTCTCTCCTGCCATCCATCACTACCCTCTGACAAACAGAAGCTAGGGCTACCATTCCTTACCTATACTGGCTAATAGCCATTTATGGACTTAACCTCCATTAATTTATCTAGTTCTCTTTTAAACCTTGTTATAATCCTAACCTTCACACCCTCCTCAGGCAAGGAGTTCCACAGATTGACTATGTAGAGTGTGAAGAACAACATCCTTTTATTTGTTTTAAACCTGCTGCTCATTAGTTTCATATGGTGGCCCCTACTTCTTGTATTAGGGAAACAAGTACATAACTTTTCCTTATTCACTTTCTCCACACCACTCATTATTTTATATACCTTTATCATATCAAATGTATACCTATCCCAGCTCTAGGCCTTAGGTACTTTAAGATTTATGAGATGCAGCTGTACTGGGTAAAATAGAGGTGGGGAAGAGGGGCTAGATTTGGCTCAGGAATTGGGGGCGGGGTACCCTTTAAACCCCCTGTGGAGGATGACAAAAAAAGAAGGGAGAGGAGCTGGAAACTGGATTAACACCTCCCCTGTGTAGACGAGCCCTCGTGGCCACTGTCACTG